GACTGATTTGTGGTTTATGGGTTTTTTTGTGGCAATTCTTTGGGCATCACAAGTGCATTTGTATATCTTAATACACTGTGGGAATACAAGTATTAGTATTTACATGACACAATATGATGTAAGTTACCTTTCAGGTATATAATTTGTATACAGCATCAGTGGTGTAACATAACTTTTTTGACCACTTGCCCTCGGGGCAAGTTGGACATGAAAATTGGTTGCCCTGAATAAAATCCACTTGCCATCAGGCAATGGGGCACCTACGCGGACCAGTATAAATTAGAGAGACAACATATCCACTCATTGGACTAGTGGCATTGGCTATGTTGCTGCCTCAGATCTAGACTACCTCAGATCTAGCTTTGGCTCACATATTAAACAAAATTTGAATCAAGTACACTTATTTAATGTAACACTAATCACCATTATTTTTTTTTATTAGTTTTACAATAAGAAATTGAAGGCATAGACAACAGGACTAATAAAGTCCCAAATTAAGTCCTGCCATAAATTAAGTCCTGCCATATTTCGTTATCATATCATGAATAAACATTTAATAACCAAAAAGAGAATCAATGCATAATATAATCAAACAATTTAGATGAATTTGATGCAGATGATTTGCCAGCTTGAACCAATGTCGTCGAACAGCCTTTAATTATTCTATCCGACAATAATAATATGAACTGAAAGCTGGCCAGCTTTTTGTGGCAAAGCAACTTGCCCGTTCGGGCAACCAAGAGGAAACTTTTACTTGCCCATCATGATATTCACTTGCCCCGGGCAAGAGTTAAGTTACACCTCTGAGCATAGTAGTTGCCATTTGGCAGCTGTTGGTCTGGTCGAAGTGCTGAGATAATTTGGGGAGACCCATGGCATGCTCTCTCAACAGTGAAGGTTCAAAACACACACATGCCGGAATGCTTATAGAATACCTCGCCATTTTTCCGCATTCATTGACACATAAATAAGTACATGCAAGAATCACTTCAAAATAGTTTAAGGGTAAAGTTTAGAGATTAAATCATATGAGTATGTTAGTTTGGTTCAAATTTGACTGGGGATTTTTGAAGAATGAGGCAATCATATTAGATCAATTTTGAGTAAATTGACAATGTTTACAAGGAATTAATAGCAGTAAGGTGTGAACGTTGTGGGTATTCTATAGTTGTATCAAAAAAGTGAAAAACTAAGCTAAAAGCCCAAAGAATACCGGATTGCCACAATGTCAAAGAGCATTGTTGCTGACTAAGAAACATCTATTAGACCATGTACAGTACTTGAGTCTTGTGATAATATCAGTGATATTGCTTTTGTATTATACGATATACTGTAAACTTGCTGTTAGCATATTATATTATTAATATTCATGGTTGTCAAATATCAAAATCAACACACAAAATTCACACACAAAGGTATAAAATAGTGTATATTGGTATAAACGTTTAATAAAAATGCATACATACATAACCCATGGTCGGCATGGAATCTTCACTGACAGTAGTGACAGTATGTTATTGACTCCCAAACGACAAATATTATAAAACACGCTTCCAAGCTGAAAAGAAATATTTACTGTTGTCAGTCAGTGTTTAGACTCTTCTCTTTGAATCTTGATCTTCCACAAGTATTGCTGTTGATTATATTCCTTATTTTTTTGAAGAACATCGCAGACTATATATTTATTTCCACTGTCAGTTGAAAAGTTTATCATCATAGTTTCAGTCTCTGGTTTCAGTCGCAAAAGCTTATATCGCCCCTTTGCACGGCCATGTTTGATAAAATCAAAGCGGCCCGCACCCCTGGTTTGAAAAGTTAAATATTCTGAAATATTCAAAATTTGAAGCATCATGTGACCAGCCTTTACCAGCGCCTTTGCTGCTTCGCCTCCTTCCTCAATAGGCCCTGGTAACGAGGTTGGGCCCTACCTTTGCTTATTTGTCGAAATGTAAGCAGATGCTTGTGGGTGAGATATTTGCAGATATGACAAAAAGGAAGGAAAAATTCGAGAAGATAACCGGTGTTAGCTTGGACAACTATTACAGATTGGCTGCGAGCAAAGTCGAGAATGAGAAGAAAAGAAAAAAAAATGTCTGAGGAGTTACATGAGGCGAGAAAACGTGCAAAAAAAGGTTATATTTAATTTTAAAATTTTTTTACATTTTTTATTTATTTATTTAAAATACGTCGTAGTTGTTGTTGTAGTTCTGGAAATTGTTTTATCTTCTTTACTGGTGGTTTTCCACATGTTGTCAAGTGTTCAGCTATTGCATCTTCGATCTTTGCGTGTTGACTTGAGAATGTTGTCTCGTCGTTGAGGTGAACGTATTCGTAGATTTTGGGTTCTGTGCCGGAATTTCTGTATTTTTGGCTAGCAACTGTTCGAGTGTTTTGTCTCGATCTGTGTCGGCGAGATATTCGGCTACGGCATCTTCTAAGTTCGGTTTGATGCTCGTGAACTTTTTAGACTTGTTCAGATGAATGTATTCGAAGTCTGCGGGTTTCGTGTAGTACACGCGACCGGTCGACATAAATTCCTGCGTACCCAATTCCTCGATTCGTTTGAATTTTTCTTCGAACTCGACTTTTCGCGCATCTTCCGTTTTACGCCATATGTCAAGACGACAATTCTCACAGTATCGAGTGCGAAAATGTAGTTTACGATCGTGTGCATCCGTATGTTCGCAGTGTAGGCATCCGTTGTTGAGACATTCTTTTTTTGTTAGCGACAGTACGATATTTTTTTCGATCGGAGTCATTCTTTCTTCGTCGTCGCTCATGTTTTGTATTTTTTCTAGGTTCGGGTTTGTTTGGCGATAAAGAGCCATGGTGCCCTATACTTATAAATGATGGGTATGTGGAAGCTGTCAAAGGTGAAATTGAAGATGAGCAAATCAATCGTTATGATGAAATTATAATCATATCTAATTACCCTACAAAGAACGATGAGCACGTGGTATCCAACGGAAGTAAATAAATCAAAAACAAAACTTGTAGTCATTTACCAAATATGGTAATCGACTGTTTTTCTCAAAAAAAAACACAACGAATTGATGTAATATAAGGATTTTTAGATAATTCTTGTGGGTTCCCCCCCCCCCCACTAAAAAATAATATATATTATATAGCACACTACTGATGAGCACATGCTCATAACTGCTCATGAGCACATGCTCATCTGCTCATAACTGCTCATGAGCACATGCTCATCTGCTCATAACTGCTCATGAGCACATGCTCATCTGCTCATAACTGCTCATGAGCACATGCTCATCTGCTCATTAGGCCCAATGGCCCGAAGTGCATTCTTCCTTCATGGAAGCCCAGACACCACTGCAGAAAAATTGATTAGTTTATGTACACAAATGTATAATTTTTCGTATTCGCATGTTTTTGCCATTTTGATTTCTATCCGGCCAACCCATGTAAAAATGACAAGAAAAGACAGGTATAATTGAAAAGCAATTTATTTTAATGACTCGAAGTTACATGCTGTGTTTATACTGGTCTTATTTTACATATAATACTGTTCAAGTACAAGAATTCAATCCTATATTTGAGTCTAATCATCATTGAATGTCATCAGAATCGTAACCGTTTAAAAGCCTTCTTATAAGAAACATTTAACTCCGAACTACTACGCACAGATTTTGTTAGATTTTTAAAATCATGTCGGGTACAATTTTGTGCGATGAGCAGATGCAAGATGCTCATAACTGCTCATGAGCACATGCTCATCTGCTCATAACTGCTCATGAGCACATGCTCATCTGCTCATAACTGCTCATGAGCACATGCTCATCTGCTCATAAAACTGCAGTGCTGCTCAATAACAAGGCATTTCTACACAGTCAGTGCTAACGGAATGAGCTGCAAATTTTGCAGAAAGCAATTTAACCGTGGTTACAATTTACGAAGACACGAAAAGGAATACTGTCCCCTACGTGCAAAAGAACGAAACATGTCTCAAACCGACTCGGATAGCCAGGAAAGGGATTTCCAAGATGACCTCTCAACAGCTTCAACTGATGTGTCTGAAATTTCGATGAGGACTGATAATGAGTCAGAAACTGAAGAGGAAATGGACCCTTGGATACCGTTGATAGAAGAAGCAAAACAAAAAAGAAATATGGCATTAGAGGAAATGAAAGAAAGCCTTATAAACACTGGTCTAGATGAGCAATCCGCTAAGGACAAAGCTTTCTCTAATATGCTGCCTAAACTCCGGAAGGAACTGGAAAATATTTATATGGAGCGTCTCGTGTGGATGAGACAACTAAAGAAAGATCCAGTACATAAGAAGATCATGCGCACAAAAGATGCGCTTGTGGAAAACGATGATTTTGATCCAGAAGAAGCGTTAGAAGCAGCTGTTGATAAGAGAAAGTTTCTTATAAGAAGGCTTTTAAAGCGTTACGATTTTGATGAAGAGAATGATGATGACTTGCAATGATGATTAGACTCGACTGATAGGTCGAATATAGGATTGAATTCTTGTACTTGAACAGTATTATATGTAAAAGAAGACCTGCAGTTATGAGCAGATGAACATGTGCTCATGAGCAGTTATGAGCAGATGAGCATGTGCTCATGAGCAGTTACATTACCAGAAATATGGGACAAGATGGCGACGGACATGCGCACTTTGACCAAATATGGCGACCAAATATTACTATAAACTATATGGGAGTTGATCAAAATATCAAATTTTAATATACTTTGTTTAAATATTTTATGGTTGCGGAGCTCGATTATAGTAGCGACACCAACAAGCAATATTTCTAAACAAAAATCGCTAGTATTGCACCGCGTCTAGCAGGTTCCTGAGAATGTTGTATTTTTACACGCAATTTGATGAATTTCATAGTGTAATTTATAGTAAACGTCTGACACAAGAGGTAAATATCCGACGAATAGAGCAACATCCATTCGGGCGATGAAAAGTGCGGAGCTCGCAACATATTTAATGATGTCCAAACTGTTAATTTAGCTAAATAAATCCGCTGTAATTCCCAGGGAAACTGGTTCCCGAAACGTTTAAAAGTTCGCCTTTTTACGGTTCTTGTATGTCGCCATTAGGCCATCTTAATATCCGAAAACGACAAGTTTTAATACAAATTTGAGCTGTTTCGAGCAGCCATGTTTGTTGTTTATTTTAAAAGACTAGATCCCAAGCTCTCACGTAAAAACACAGGGATATTTTAGGATTTTTTAGGATATTTGCAATATTTTTAGTCTTCATAAAAATTTGCGTGGTTAAAGGTCAAAATACCGGAAGTGATCAGCATAAACTGCAAAATATAGTTTAAAATCACAGTTTTTGGTTGAATAATACTTGAAATGGAGATTCAAAGTAAAATTCGAAGTCGTTTTACTTATATTAGGGAATGTTGGGCATATAAAACGGACTTAGCCGCTGACTACAAAAGCGGGAGCAAAATGTCCCATATTTCTGGTAATGTATGAGCAGATGAGCATGTGCTCATGAGCAGTTATGAGCATCTTGCATCTGCTCATCGCACAAAGGCACCAAAATTCGAAGGTTCTAACTCCTGATAGATTACACACAAATTTTCAAGTACGTTCTCTCTTCCAATACGAGCTATCATGCATTCAAATAAACCCCCATGCTTTTCCAAAAGCAATTTTAAATGGAAACGAAAAGTATTCACACTCAATTCAATGTTATTTTCCCTTAAAACCCCCATTATTAACCCTTCCGCCATCTTGAAACAAAATGGCGACTAATCGGAAAGCTCTCGTTGTTTTATCATCATCGGAGAACCTTCGGAAAATACGTCATCGATTATGCAAATTAATTATCGGAAAGCCCTCGTTGTTTTATCATCATCGGAGAACCTTCGGAAAATACGTCATCGATTATGCAAATTAATTTGCATAACTCATGAATTATTAAGGTAACTAGGCTAATTATGCGCATAGAATGGGGTTCATTAAGCCCGAGATATAACTACTGACAGGGTCAGGTATGTAATATGTTTACACATAACAATTTGTTGGGCCAATTTTAGGTTTTGCTAAATATACATATATGATAAATACTGACAGTTTGTGATGTCATCATGTTTACCTCATTACAAGCATTTTGAAAATACCATTTACAGGTTCTACATCAGCCCAACAAATTGGTAACTGTAAAAGGTGTTTTGTTCTGGTTCTAAGCCTCCACCCCCCACACCACCCCTAAATTACCCAACCTAATTACCCATCATTATTAAGGCATCTATTTATTTATTTAAAATACAAGTGTCTCTATTAATACTATTTACAGTAGTATAATTACAGAGGTGATTATTGAAAATGCTCCACGCTGATTTGTTACCGTTGAGGTAATTATAACGTGATAATCACCTAAAGCGTTTTTCAAAATGGCGACAAGCCGTTTTTGTCACATTAAGTGACTAAGAAATGTGTATTTAAATTTTTTTCCAAATAATCACGTATGAAATTATACTAAAACAATTATTCACCTCGGCTCGGTGATTATCCAACCTCGTACCCAGGGTAATTTCTGCGCGCGCCACACATTAGCGGCCACACTTGAAATATAATGTAAATACTTTAAACACTTGAAATATAATGTAAATATATTTCAATTTCAAGTGTGGCCGCCAATGTGTGGCGCGCACAGAAATTACCCTGGGTACGAGGTTGGGTGATTATCATGAATACACCTCGCCTTCGGTGAATAATTGTTAAATATGAATAAAAGTTATTGGTTGGAACCGTGAGGGACTTTTATAAAATTAAAAGTTAGTTTCTCAACATAGCATTGAGGAATTTGTTCGCCACTCTGTGTGAAGTTCTTTGCAGAGCGACCTAGAAAAATCCTCATTTTGACTGGGAACCTGATCTTTACTCCATCCCCACACGGTTGGCACAAAAGACAGCAAATTCGGTCACGTACAAATAACTTTCAGTCGTTAGATTGGAATATCACGAAACTTCCTCACAGGATAGAACTTGCCATTCCTAAAAATCCTATCGTTTTTGTTTTTCGATTTTGTTACATTTTGGCGAGAAAATAACGTGCCAACTTTGGCGCCAAAAAATTAAACACGAGCTAAGAACATGCTAGAAACTTTTTTGAAGAGATTGTCCTATATGGATCTCAGAACAGTGAAAATATTGAAAATCCGCCACAGCAGTGCAAAATATGGTGCTTAAAATTCTGAAAAATCCGCCATTTTGTTACTAAAAATAGTTTTTTTTCGAATTTTGAATCGCCATATCTTCGCATTGCCTTGTTATATTTTTAATGTTTTTACAGTTTTGACATCCTTGGCGCCAAAGTTGGCACGTAATTTTCCCGCCGAAATGTAACAAAATCGAAAAACAAAAACGATAGGATTTTTAGGAATTGCCAGTTCTATCCTGTGAGTAAGTTTCGTGATATTCCAAACTAACGACAGAAAGTTATTTATACCAGGCCGAATTAGCTGTCTTTTATTCCCACCGTGCCAAGACGGTTGAAAAAGTAACTCCAGCTACAACCTCGTTCCCAGGCTCTTACCTTCGCACGCCCCAAGCTGCGGAAAGACCCTGGTGCCGGCTGGTCACGTGGCTCCCAGATTTTGGGTGCTAAAATAAATTGCTATTCAGGGAGGGGTGGTAGAAATTATTTGTATGTATTGAAATTGTATCTGAATTTGTAAAATAGTAAAATTCTAACTGTACGAGACAATAATAGAAGATTTTTTCTTAACGAAATGTTAAAACAATGTGTTGCAGCCGAAAGAGTATCATATTAGTCTCAAGGATTACAAATATCTCATATTTCACTGTCACTATATCGGCTTAGCAAAAGCACGCCAAAGAAATTTAACAAAAAGATCTCCTGGATCAACTGAAAATAGTTCTCGTTGTCGATTATATAATGGTGTACAAGATCAGATACATTGTAAGAATCTCTTCAACAAAACAAATTAAAGAATTTTGAATAACACGGAGTTGATT